GGGTGGGGTAATTGCCTTTTCCCAGGCTTTTGGTACAGGGAGGGGCTTGTGCGTCTCAGGAGAAATACTGCTGTAATATGGGAGAATGGGAGGGATAGCACAGGTATCCCGGCAGCCGTCCTCCCTGCCATGCTCCCCAACCACTTCTACCCGTCTCTCCCCAGACAACTCCACTATGCACCTCCCACTCCAACAAAACTTGGGTGAGAGACTGGGCACGGAATTCCTGAGCTCTGGCTCCCTGGCTGATAGAAGCCAGGCGCTGGTTGCTACGTGGGTGGCTGTTGCCAAGCTGCTCGGCGCTCTGTTAGAAGTACCTAACATTATGCACCTCTGGTTGCTGTGTGGGCAGCTACTGCCCAGTGGCTCAACCCTCTGGCTGTCCTAGCCTCTCTCCCAGGGAACCCTCCTCACCCTTGGCCCATGGCTCCTGACAGCTCAGCCAAAGGCCTCTCTCAACCCTGCCCTTCCTACAAGTCTAGAGGTGGTTTCTGGCCTTCCTTGTTTAAAAGTCTCTTCCCTCTGTCTAAAGCAGGTATTTCAGGGTGAATATTTCCCACTGTAGTTCTAATTCTAGTTAGATTCTGGGAGCAGGTAGGAGAAAGATCCTCCTATTCCTCCACCATCTTTCTTCTGTCCAGAGTTTATTCTTGTATTATTATTTATTAATTGTATTATTTTCCATATAAACAACCATTAACCTACTTTTGACTCACCATATATAAATATACACACACACATGCTCAAGATCCTGAAGTGAAGATTCTGATTTAATTGGTATGAGATGGAGGCTGAAACAGTTTTAAAATGGCAATTTTCAGTTGCATCCCTAGTTGAGAACCACTATTACAAAAAATTCCAAGGTAGAAAGGGTAAAAAGTAGGGTGCCCACATAAAATATGAGGTCAGAGTTTTGCCAACTCATATTTAAAACAGTAGCAAAGTAAAAGGTAGGTTACTATTTAAATTACACCTAATATGACATCACTGTAAAACAAAGGGAGTTCTCATTTAGGAATATAAAAATTCAGTACGATTTAAAGACTATCTGGGGGAAGCAAGTTTGGAAAAAAAACAAGTCAGCGGTCATGCCAAATGCTTGCATTCTCAATCAGTAACTCACTTCTCTTGTGACAGGGTCCACTTCTATCAGTCCATGTTCTGAGCCAATGAGCACTGTGCTCCGCTCAGTTCGGAAAGAGAAACACTGAGGTGTCCCTGGAGCCTGAATATCCCTGAACTCCAGGGTCCGAAGTAACTTCAGATTTCTCATGGTGAAGCTATTCCTGAAAAAAAAAGTACAAATATCCCTTGATAAAACACTCACTTCTAAGACAAAAAAAGATTTAACATCAGTTATTCCTCAGTAAATTTGAAAGAACAAAATGAATGGGAAAACATTTTATATTTGAATATAAGGGTAACTTTATAATCCAATAGATTTATAAAATCATGTGAAATCCATATAAATATTTGAAGAAAATCTGGAATGAAATTACTTTAATATCACTAGGTATATTTATATATAAACTGGGATATACTTCCATTAAAAAAGTTAAAATTTAAATCAAAAGTAGAATATAAGGATGTACTGTTCTCAGGGGGAAAATAAGACCTGTAAAATTACAACAGTTTACTTCAAAATGATAACCAATGTTTGAGTTGCTTAATGACTTGATATAATTACTTCATGTAATTCAGCTTTCCTGGCCTGGTTTTTACCAGTGTAATAGTAAGGTGAGAAAAGAATGATAAATAGGAAACCTACTTCAATCTGGCAAAACCAGACTTGCTTTAATGTATAATATTATCTAAGTAAGAGGAAAACAAATATTAATGTGCTGGGTATTTATATTCTGATCCCTCTAAGGTTTATAATTGGAAATCCCTAAGTTATGTTAGGAGTGGCAATTACACAAACCACAATGGCCTTAAAGCCACCATATTCTAAAAAGAATTCTCTCATCTTGGCATTTCATACATATGACATTGAAAAAGATGAGGTAATCCTCCTACACAGCAGATAATGTTAAGTGTAATATGAAGGATAACATATAAAATGTGGTTTAAGAGAAAGGCAAAACCATGCATGGTGGAAGCAAGAAAAAAAATCAAGGTAAACAATGGTTTATAAGCTTAGGTGATATTTATATTCAAGAACTTCTAGAAATTATTTGAACCTGTATTATACCATAAAGGTTTTAAATTTAATTCCACACAGAAAGTTTAGGCTTTCCAAAGCATATAAAAATTACATCCTTGATCTTTCTTTAAACATGGAGATGACCACTGGTATAGATCTGAAAGGACTGGTAGATTTGAGATGAGAGACTGCCTGGCATGTCTGACTAGAGGGGAGTAAACAGGTGATATAGTAGCAAGAGGTAAGGACAGACACGAGGGGGATCAAATGTGTAGTTTCCGGGCTCTTTCATTCTGGTTCACCTAATAATAATTATTATTGTTACTGTTGCCATGATCAGATCATCAAAATATCTTCATATCCCTCCCTGTGAATATTCACCAATAACCTGTGGAGCCCTGAGGTCGATGTACTGAAGGATACGAATCTGGAGGGTAAAGGCATTGAGAGCTGAGAGGAACTCACTATTTCCTGTCATCTTACTGTTCCCATCACTGCTGCCCCAGCAATGGGCTTTCATCCTTGCAGGGGCCCTTGGTCCCAGTCTTTAGTACATACTCCCATGACCAGCCTCATCTCCCCCATCCCTGGAGGTACCAGCAATAACCTGGCAGGCCCCCTCCAGGTGTCTGAAATCCAGCAATAGGAGGGCTCCTCCTCTGAATTCCAGAGGTCTGAGTGCTTGCTTTATAATGCCTCTGCTCCAAGTTCAGGCATGATAATCCCAAGGGCTTCCCTTGTTTTGATCCCCAGCCCTAGCTAAGTGTTGTAGCTACTTCCATCAGTTTACCTTTTGCTTTTTGTTCCTCCAACAGCTATTTAACTAGTTCTTCATATTAAATTCTGTTCAAATAATAATGTGATTTCAACTTTTCCAACTGGACCCTGACTGACAAATGCAACAAACGACCTGAGTTCTCAAATCACTGAGCTTCCAGAATCACCTGCCAAGGTGAGCTCATCATTCATCTCCCCCATCCCCGACTCTCCCAGTCTCAAAAAGAACTTATCTAAATGTTCACACCCATCATCCTGACTCCCTTACCTTCTCAAGTGTCCCCACAATTTGCAAGGACAGCAAAGGAGTATCCTCCAAACTCTCCCAGGACCCCAACTTATTAGTACCCTTTCTTTTACATCTGCAATCTCCAACTCCTAGCCCTCGATGATTCGACTTTTCTGTCTTTAAATGTAGTAAAGAACTCTCTACACTAGAGATCAATCCTGATCTCCCAAATTTCTGACAACTCCATTGTCTTCCCTGGCTCCTTTACACATCTGTCTCTTAGCTAATTATGAAGCCTCTGACTGACTACAAGTACCAGGCAGATGACTAATATGCTACCGAGATGGAAACGTCTAGCCCTAAGCCTCCCTACATGGGATACTAAACCCACATTTTCAACCTCCTAATGTTACCGCAAGAATGCCTCACAAACACATCAATGCAACCTGGAAAATGAAGTAAGTACTTGCTATTTCCCCAACACACGTTTTCCCTATTTGGGGACATGGCACTTCTACTCTCTCTGCTCCCCAACTTGAAAACTGCCTACTTTTTGCTCACACTTTTTATTCTAAACTATTCACTGGTTACCTCCGTGGCTGTCGGTCAGTATACAGCTTGAATCCTTCATACAGTAAGTACCCAGTCCATCCCAATCACTGGTGTGCGGCCTACATCAAACACGGAAAGAGTCCTGGCCGTGTGGCTCAGTGGTAGAGCATGGGCCTGCGCAAGGAAGGATCGCGGTTCCTTTCCCAGTCAAGGGCTTGTACCTGGGCGCAGGTTCACTCCTGGACGCGGCTGGGGCGCATGCTGGAGACAACCAATCAATGTCTCTCTCTCTCACTGATGTTTTTCTCTCTCTCTCTCTCTCTCTCTCTCTCTTTCTCTCTCTCTTTCTCTCCCTCTCTCTCTCTGTCTCTCACCCTCCCCCTCTCTAAAAATCAGTGGAAAAATATCTTCCGGTGAGGATTACAAACAAAACAATACATTGAATGAGAACTGGGTAAGTGCTCCAATACAGACAAGAAATGATTCCGAGTCCCTGTCTCCACGGTATAGAGGGCCATATAATACCCCACAATAGATGGAGAAGCACAGGGGGCATCACGAAAAAGTCCCAGACCCGGGAAGGGACCCGCCACCGTCTGGGAACTTCTGATAACCATCGCCTTCTGTGGCGCATTAATTGATTCGCTTTCAGCGGTCCTGCCCACTCCTGCAAGGCATCCGCAGGATGGGTACGCGTGCCCAATGCCGCGGGCGGAGGCAAACCTGCAGAAAGAGAACTTAAGGCTCGAGGGCAGAGGTGGTCACGCAGCACCCCACGCCTGGGCCTGCACCAGGCAGAGGCGCGCGCTCGGGGCTCCCGGCATCAGGACCTGGCGGGCAGGGCCGGGCTGCGTGTCCACACCCCAGGAGTCACCGGAACGCTTACCTGACGCCGCGTTCCCTCCCAAACAACGGGGCGTTCCTCGCCTCCCGGGCCACGCGCAGCTGGCCTCCCGGAGTCCGCCCGGGGCTGCGCACGCGCCTCTCCGTCCGCGGCTCCGAGCTCTCGCGGGCGCACTGGGCCTCCGGGCCACTGGGCCCCTGGAGCCCCGAGGTAGTTAGTGGCTGAAGCCGACGCAGAGGCAGCGGATGGGACAACGACTTGCAAGCGAAGCAGGCCCGACACGGGCAGAGTGGCGCGGGAAAGACGTCACTCGGCCGAAGGGGCGTGACCGGCTTTTTCCGCAGGCGGCCCCAGAAAGACAGAGAAATGCTATTGTAGTTGATCCCCACGTTGACGTCAACCCCAAGCCCAATGGCTGGCGTCGGTGGGCGGAGCCTGCAGGGCCAGTATTACAGTGCGCATGCGCACGCCGCAGGCCGCGCGCCGGAAGGACCGCCTCCTCCAGGCCAACATGGAGGAAGCGCTCGGGTCTCCGAGGGCGGAGGGAGCGGCGCCCGAGGTCGCCATGGCTACCGAGCCGGTGGCCGTGGAGTCCGCGGCGCCGTCACTTGTGGATCGTTACTTCACTCGCTGGTACAAAGCGGGTAAGTGGGGAATAATGTAGGTCTCTACGGGGCCATATTGGCCTGATGCAGCAGGGACGACGGTGACACATCAGAACCACGCGCGCTCTCTCCGGCGCTTCTGCCCCACGATGGAAGGAATGTAACAATTTTGTGTGTGTTTGTGTATTGCTTTTTTTAAAACAGAAGGGAATGGGTATTTGCAAAGGCTAAAATGCCAGCAGAGCGCATTCTAGGGCTGGCGAGCGCTGCGCGAATTCCTGGGTGGGTTGCTGGCGGGAAGATGGTTTAAGGTGAGGCGCCCAGGTAGGCAGGGGCTGGACGGCAGTCTCCTGGAGTGCCCAAGGGCTTTGCAAATTCTGTAGGGAGTGGCCATGCAGAAAATGACTTACATGATCTGGTTGGAACTGAGGTAGAGACTGTGGAGATGGGGAGAAGGTGGGTCAGACTAGAGGCATTTAGAAAACAGAATCTAACATCTTGTGTGTGCTTTTGTGTATTGCTCTTTTTTTTTTAGAGTAGGTTTATTAAAGTTGGGGACAGGGAAACAGAAAGGCTTAGGATAAAAGCAACAGGAGAGAGAATAGGCGGGGCTGCTTTGGCTCCCTAAAACCTTACCGGAGAGAAGTGAGCCTAGGCGGGTGCTGTCAGCTCACTGGACCAGATTAAAGGGGGCCTTGGGAGCAGGTCCAGGGGTTAGCTGGGGATGAGCTGCCACTGCCCATTGCTCCCCTGGGTGCAAGTCTCCTGAGGTCCCTTAGAGTTTAGATCAGGCCTGTGGGGGAAGGGATAGCAAGCCAGAATCCAACAGTGTTACTGAAAGAGAAGCCGCTGGTATTCTATACATCGGCCACTTAATAATTGGGTGTTCCGTTGTTTGTGTAGGCAGTGAATATCAGAGGTGGAAACATCGCTGGGGACCTTCTTCTAACCCCATACTTGCTCCATTGCATTCAGGGATAACAGGTGTACTCATTTTTAAAAATATTGTAGCATAGGTATTATTAGCCACATTTTGGATGACTAACTGTCCTTGTTTACCAATGACTGAAAGTTTTTCCGGAATCCGAGACATTCAGCGTTAACATCAGGACAGTCCTAGGCAAACCAGGAGTTGGTCCCTCTAAAACATACACACTGTATTATATAAAGAATGCATTGCGTGCATTTTTCTAATAGAAATAATGTGTACTTATTTTAAAGCAAGATGGAGCAAAGGGTAATCACTTTAATGATGAATGAATGATTCCATCCGGGCCACATCTCTTTACTTTATAGCAAGCCTTTTAGGTATATCTTTTCGAGTAATGAAAGGATACAAGTGATTGGAATGTGTACAATCTTCATAATTTACTATCTCTATGAACCAAAGAAAGTGCTATACAGTAAGTAGTAAATATTGACTCCACAACCTCCTGACCTGTTCATTCTTCTAGATGTCAAAGGAAAACCCTGTGAGGACCACTGTATACTACAGCACTCTAACCGGTAAGCAAATTGGGAATTTTAAATTAAAAAAAAATTTTTTTTTCTGGTATAGTAGCCTGGTATGGTGTTGGATTGAACTAATGTTCAATAAATGATTATTTTTCACTGTGTTGAAATAGTATTATTTATGATAGGAGTTAGGTTGACAAGAATGAGCCTTTCAGTGCCTACTCACGTTAAACAAATGTGATTATCCAAACATCCAAATGGACCACCATGCCCTCAGTCAGCTACTACTGCCTGAAGTAACCAGCCTTTGCTTAACCAGTGAATTGTCAGAGCCCATGGAGAAAGCTAGGGTGGAGGTCTAGGTGGTATCCTGTATACTACCTAACGACTCTCTCTTCTACCTCAGTGCTACCTGAAGACCTGGTACTCTTCTCTTTGGGAAGTATGTAAAATCCCATTTTCTCCTATTTTATCATTGCATTCCCTTCTACAGTAATCAGAGGAAAATGATAGTTTGACTAAACAAATGTCAATTCAGATATTCTTTTGTCAGGAGGAATACTGTGCTATATGAGGAAAAGTTATGCCAAGCAGTAATACAGGACCAATTCTTGCTCCTTGTAGAATATGTGTCATCACATTGGCAGAATCTCATCCAGTTCTTCAAAGCGGAAAAACAATTAAAAGCATTTCCTATCAAATCAGTACCAACTGTAGCAGACTTGAGAACAAGGTCTCTGGGAAATTTAAACGGGTATGTTCCTATAATTCTCTACTTAAATCCTCTACGTCATAGTAAAGATAGGTCCACTCAGTCTTAGAATCCAGTGATGTATGCTCAGCATCCTTCCCTGGCAGTTTGAGATGCTGATCTTAAGAAAACATTGACCCTAGAGAAATTCTCAGACCAAACAAATAAGGCATTCCAGGAGGTATAGGATCTGTCATTTCAGGTTCTGTATCACCACCCGTCATCCCCAGGATGAAGGGGAAGGTGGGCCTTTGAAAAGACAGCTCGAATACCACGATAATGAGATATTTTGTCCCTTCCAGTTTTGTTAAACCAGTATTTTGAGTTCTGTAAAATTTAGGTGACCAACTCTACCATATATTTCCATAATAAAAAAAACAACAAAAAAACACAAGAATATTCCCTGATGTGTGAAAAAAGCAATCTTAAAAAATATACAGTATTTGCTCCTTAGCATTTTCCATTGCCAATTTCATACACATATAGCCACACCCTCTACTTCCACCTAATGCTCGGTTGTATACAATGCTATCTCTACCCTCTACAACCCTAGGCAGGATGAACACATTAAAGGAGAGGATTACTTTTAGTGCATCTGTCACAGAGGATGATTTAGGTCTTTCATGTGCTGAGTGCATACTAACAATTTCTGCCAACAACCCTCACTGTTCTAGAAGACCCATGTCTATACTCTCCTTTGTTGGCCTGAAATCCCCTAACAACATGGCTTATGAGTATTGATTTTTTCCTCACTCAGGAAACATGGACTTAGAAAAGCATGGACCATTCTTAAAAGACAAAGTCTGCAAATTACAAGGAAAAACACTTAGTGCTTGTGAACGTCCTGTGATAAATCTTTATCCAAAATAGTAACACTGTTGTTCCTACTGAGGAACAGAGAGACCTGCAAATAGAAACCACTACCGATAAGTTTTAATTCGATCTCAGCACTGCCAGTCATTTGGTCTTCCAAGGGAGGTGATAAAAAGGAGTCAAAACACTTCTGCTCTTTTGACATAGTCCCAGTGGTAGACAAACCCTCTGGGATGAGTACCCACACCTTCCTCCTAAAGGCGGGGAGTCCCACGGACTAGTATTTTGAAATGAAGTACAGTATCCACATGCAGAGGAGTGAAGCCAGTGTGGTGCATCTGAATGTTGTATAATAACGTGTTGAGGGGTAAGATCATAAGGCAGAGCATCTTGACCTCAAATGCCTATGTTCACTCCAGGAAAAATTCCTGGGGTGGGGAAGAGCAACACGAGACATGCCTGCCTCAGTTCCCATGAGCCTCCTTGTAGATTTTTGTCAGAAACTCCCCAGATATATCCATAGAGTGTGGAGTACATGAAACAATAACGTGCCTTAGCATTCTAACAGATATGTCAAAATGTGGTATTGCCCTAGCCAATTTGGCCCAGTGGATAGAGCATTGGCCTGTGGACTGAAGGGTCGCAGGTTCAATTCCCTTTTGCATGCTCGATCTCAGTAGGGGGCGTGCAGTAAGCAGCTGATCAATGAGTCTCTCTTATCATTGATGTTTCTATCTCTCTCTCCCTCTCCCTTTCTCTCTGAAATCAATAAAAATATATATTTTTAAAAATGTGGTATTTACTTCTGGGTTATAGGATAATGGGTAAATGATTCTTATTTGCTACTTACAACTTATATGTTTTCCAAATTTTCCTCCAAGTTCATTACTTGTTAAGTAGAAAAACATCCCTTTTTCAAACCGTCTTAGAGAAGGTCAGAATCTTAATGAAGTTAACTTTGTACAATATTGGTGTCACACTCTCATGTTGAATTTTCTATTATTGCTTATTGATGGACTTTCCTACACTGTTGAAATCTTTATACTTAGCTATATGCAGCTTTCTCATTTGAAGTTCATAAAATATATTCTTAATCTTTAAACTACCTATTATCACATGTGTCTTAGTTTGCTTTTTCCCCTAGAACCTAGGTTGGTACCTGGCCCATAGCAGGCACTTATATAAATGTTTAAATAAATGGTTTTTAAAACACTAATTCCATGAATATATACTATGATGACACTGAGGGCTACCTCTCAAAGGAAAGCGAAAATGTGTATTAATTACTTCCTTTCATTTTCAGGGAGCACAGTTTCTAACAGAACTTGCACCGCTGTGTAAGATTTACTGCTCAGATGGGGAAGAATATACTATATCTAGGTGAGTTACTTTTTAACCACAATTTAGGAGATAAAAAAGGAGATAATATTTTTCTTCAAAACAGCTCTTTTTTTCAATAGCTGTGTTAGAGGACGGCTGATGGAAGTGAATGAAAATATTCTCCATAAGCCTTCTATTCTTCAGGAGAAGGTAAAGGGGGTGGGGGAGAAGTATGGTTCCATCCACATACTTTTCGTCTGATTTTTGTCATATGACAGAACTAAATGTTCTGTTTCCTTTCTAGCCATCCACTGAAGGTTACATTGCAGTTGTGTTGCCCAAATTTGAAGAAAGTAAAAGCATAACCGAAGGGTTACTGACACAAAAACAATATGAAGAAGTTGTGGTAAAACGCAGTAATGCCACAACAGCCACATCGTGAGGACTAAGATGGCACATGAAAAGCAACGCAGCATTCGATTCGTGCACTGAAGAAGTACCACCGTATGGCAGAAGCATACTCCGCAGCCAGCCTTCTGCAGGGAAGCCTGTGTTTTTTTCCCCTTTCTCTTGCAAGACAAGCCTTGGTTCCCATTTGTCTTTAGCTTCTCAGATCTGCCCTGCCATGGACCTAGCCTGCTCCTCTTTTGCTTTTCTCTTTCTAAAAACTGACAAACAACATTTCTAATTAAAAACAAGCAGAGCATTTTGGGGGAAATTTGGAAAAGACACAAGTTTTAAAGTAGCAAGTAAAAATAATCTACCCATGCTATAACTCATTAGTAAATACTACATTTTGACATACTTCTGTTTAAATGTTATGGCATGGTTCATTGTTTTTGCTCATACTTCCATCAGTTTGACGGTAAAGGAAACAACAGCTGACCTCTCTTACCCAGTGTGCTTCAGTGTGACACTACCAAAAGGTCTGGTCCCACCCCTTCTGCCCCAAGTCCTCTGCAGGCTATAGGAAGAGGCTGAGTGTAGATGTACCTTCTCTAGTCTTTATGCCGCAGGATGGCCTTCCTCTCTGAGACAAAGTAGAACTCTAACGCTGTGGCTTCTATGAGGGACAATGTGAAAAGGCTTTGAAAAATGCAAAGGGCTTTCCTAATTTATGGAAGCATTATAATACAGTACATACATTATAGTCACTCTGTAACAGTCTCACACTACCTACAGGGTAACAAGAAAGAAGTTACCGTAATTCAAAGACAGAGGCCTTTGACTAGAACAAAAGCTTTCACATCATTTGAACTAGAAAACAAAACTGAATTTATGTTTTAAGATTGTATACTTATTCATACTGAATTTTAAATAAAAGACTTTAAAATTGTTATTTTTTTTAAGGGCCGAAACATGTATGTTTAAATATTTGTTTTTAAATCCAAACAATAGTACAAAAGAAATCAATTGACATGTAAATTCCTTTGGTTCCCTATCTTCTGCTGTAGAAGTCATAAATCATCCCTTCCCCACCCCCACTTGAACTTAAATAAGAGAATATTCTCATTTCAGGTCTGTAAAAGTATTTTGTAAATAAAATTGAAAAATTATTTTTGACTCACAAGAAAAACTTGTAACTTAAGTGCCAGCATGACTGTCCCCAGGTATACCCACCAGACATGATCCAGGTAGTAACTCTGCAAGCATCTACGCTGACAGTGCTGTGCACTGAGAATGTATCACAAACCAGCAGGCCCCCAGTTTGGGCAGCACAATGATAGTAAAAAAAATTACATCTATTTTACATATAACTACCTCTCATTCACCATTATTTCTATTGTAATTTTAAAATATTCTGGTTTCAGGGAATAAAAATCACGCTTCATGATTTTTATAAAGAAGAGGCCCATACAATTAAAGTTTCCTTCAATAAAATACTGACTTCCTAATTGGTGGTACTGTGGGTCTTTGGAATCTTGTGACTATTATGATGGCTAACCCAGATAAGAGTCATCAGACAAGCTTATAAAACTATAGGCAATTGGCAACTGACCTGTCCTGTTAAGATTTCAAAGCATTGGGATACAAGCACCATCACAAGTCCAAACCAAAGTTACTGGCACTATATCAGGTAGGCAGGACCTATAAACCAGACCCTTCCATCAAATCCCACCCCACAAAAACAAGAAAAGCTCTAAACCCCGAAATTAAAAAGAATAAAGATGTTTATTTGTTTTACAATGAACATTCCAAAGGCACATATATAAAATGTATGATTCAGAATTTATTTGAAACAGCTTCTTAGTTCTATCATTCTCTGTCTTCCATCTTCCATTCCATCGGTCACTACTGAAGACAGTTTAAAAACTTTTTTAAAGCCAGCACAATAGGTTTAGGATTCCAGCTAGTGTTCAGGGTAGACAGGCTGCTCGGCTACAACTAGAACTAAAAACCTTCTGTGAGTTCCTCCAGGATTCCATGGCGTGAGCTCCATGACCCAGCTTTGGGGGTGGGGGAGGGATATGCATCACAACAGATGGCCTTGGCCTGTGAAATGCTCGTTAGAAAACAAATGTGTGCTCCTTGCATGGATGATCTGTGACAGCGGGTGGCCAAGAGGCCCACTCACACTCGGTGGACAGAGGGATTAAAGAAGAGGCCACAGGCTTAAGAAAAACTGCTTTCAACCAGACTACCGTGTATTTCCTGCTTGTTAGTGTTCTAGATGATAAGCTTAAATAACAACCGGAAAACAGGAAGGTAAAATATGCCAAAGGTGAGCACATATTCAAAATAGCTTCTTTGGATTAAACCGTCATTAAGACAGCTGGGATATTTGGCTTGACTTTTAAAGAATATTGGTGGCAATGTCTCATTTTAAAATCACACTGCAATTAGAATTCTAGCAACTACCACAGCACTTTAATTGTCAAAAAGCCACAATCGGTTTCATGATCAGAAAATAAAGCAGTACTTCAATGTTATTTTCTTTATAAAATGACTGAATTTCAAGAAATATAAAGGATCATTTGCTTTCAAAAATGTCAGCTTTGCCATATGGTGTTCCCGAGATCTGCTCTCAAAAACTTCTCAAGTTTTACCATCCACAGAGTCTTTATTCATGACTGAGACCCATCTGTTGTTTTCCATCTGAAGCTGGAAAGAGTTAACATAGTTAATTTCTTCTTTACTCTCAAAATAAAATTTATAAAAATTAAATAACTATTTTCTTTTGCATTGTCCTTTAAACTCGTTTTTAAAATGTGAGTGGAAGATAGAAAACTAGCTCACCTTCTTCAGTAGTTTAAAGCAAAGTGAGAGAAGCTGGACCAAAATAGCCATCATGGATCTTGTCTTTGTAATACATTTATCGACCTATAGTGACAAAAGGTGAGCAAATCAAACTCCTTTACAAGGGGTACTTCAGAAGACTTCATCACCATTTACTTTTAAATGATAACGTTTCTCCATTATGGAACTCTAAGGGTTCTTGATAACCTGAGGCCCTAGGACACAGATGCAAGGATTGTTGCTGGTTCTCGTGCCCAGTTCATGAATCCCCAAGAATGGATGGAAAATCAACCCGTTTTACTTTAGGCTGTTTTGGGGCTCCTCTAAGCATTTCAAATAGTGGCAGTGAACCCCCTACTTTGCAACTCCTCCGGCACCCTGCTTTGTGGCACTCCAATTAATTCCCTATGAATGGAGCCCCTACTCAGGAGTCTGTGCCTTAGATATGTGCTGACATTAGGATTTAAGGGAAGTGACTTAATGCTATGGAATTAATCATGTCAAAAAGCCAATTTATTTGGTGAACCTACTGCTTCCTGGGGTCACTTATAACTGCAGATAATAGGTGACTGGAATTCATACCAAGAAAAATGGAAATAAATTGCTCTTCTGTGGTTATTAGCTCTTTATTTGAAGAAAAGGGGGCTGGAGGCTAATCTGCTAACGAAGTGTCCAAGTCTCAAGTGCCTACCTGGATAACCCACCCTCACTTTTACCTTTAGAAGCCCTTGATTCTGCACAGGGGTCTTAGTTATTGTCTGGAGCTGGTGGCATAGAGGGATTAGCTTGTTTATTTCCAGGAGAAGCATAAGCTTGTCGTCATCTTTCAGCTGAAATGTAATTTGGGAAGTTATAACAACTCCAGCAAACTCTATCTTTCAATCTTAAATACCTTTACGCCTTAGTAATATACCCCAAAGTGGGCATTCATGACATCACCTCCAACATCAGGCAAGTGGGCCTGCGTTACCTGTTTTGAGAAAGCTTGTGCACTTGAAGCAACCTTTAAGCCCTCTTCAGCGAAAACCTGGTGGGAAGAAAGAAATATCACTACTTTCGATGTATGTCTTCTGGATAGTTGGAAGGAAAAATGCTCATAAAAGGCCTGTCATGGTGCACCTACATTTTCTGTTGCACCCAGGAAACCACAAGGTTTTAATGGTATTCAGAAGGCGGCTTCCCCGACCTGCTGCAGCATCCATCCCTAAGGAGGCTCCTCTACACCTGGAAGCCTCCAAGTACTTGAGGGTCCATGGACCTATGATACTTAGCCATACAAACTGTGTCTGAGCTTCTGGAGGGATCCAAAGCTCATCTTGTAATACCCCCAATTATAAAAGGGTGACAGATTTTAGAACATGAGCCGAAAAGGCTTAGAACATCCCTACTTCCAGCTAAGCAAGATTAAATTTGTCACCCACACACGTTCTTTTTTTTATATATATATATTTTATTGATTTTTTACAGAGAGGAAGGGAGAGGGAGAGAGAGTTAGAAACACAGATGAGAGAGAAACATCGATCAGCTGCCTCCTGCACACCCCCCACTGGGGATGTGCCCGCAACCAACGTACATGCCCCTGACTGGAATCGAACCTGGGACCCTTGAGTCCTCAGGCCAACGCTCTATCCACTGAGCCAAACCGGTCGGGCACACACACGTTCTTTAACCAGCCACTCGAGAGGACCAATTCAGATTGGTTTTTGCCTATTCACCACACATTTCACAACCCAGTAGGGCAGCGGTTCTCAACCTGTGGGTCGTGACCCCTTTGGGGGTCGAACGACCCTTTCACAGGGGTCGCCTAAGACCATCGGAAAACACATATATAATTACATATTGTTTTTATGATTAATCACTATGCTTGAATTATGTTCAATTTGTAACAATGAAATTGGGGGTCACCACAACATGAGGAACTGTATTAAAGGGTTGCAGCATTAGGAAGGTTGAGAACCACTGCAGTAGGGGAACAAGATGATGGGAAAAAACAATGACAAATGAGTTGGACTGATAAGAATATTCAGTATAAGTGAAAGATACCAGGGGAGTAAAAAAATGAAGACTTGCCGAAACCGGTTTGGCTCAGTGGATAGAGCGTCAGCCTGCGGACTGAAGGGTCCCAGGTTCAATTCCGGTCAAGGGCATGTGCCTTGGTTGAGAGCACATCCCCAGTGGGAGATGTGCAGGAGGCGGCTGATTGATGTTTCTCTCTCATCGATGTTTCTGACTCTCTATCTCTCTCCCTTCCTCTCTGTAAAAAATCAATGAAAAATATATTTTAAAAAAAAATGAAGACTTAACTTTAAGTGACAGCAGTAAGAATGAAGTGAACAGGGCAATCTGAGAATGATTTGTGAATTAAAAAACAGGTTTTGGTCATAAATTACCATAAATGAAGAAGGAGGCAATAATTCTAGGGATAACTTCACTCCTCTGTCCATTAGCCTTAACACCTTGCTGTCATAGATAAACTGATCTCAAGGTCAAATCATCCTTTGCATCCTTCCCCACCCTTTAAAAGGAAAACCAATGAGTTTTATACCGAGCTTCTAACCCAATGGATTGACTCACTCATATATTCCTCCTCATTCTACATGAACACTTTCTATTTTACATATCTCTTCTTCCCTTGTAGCCTGTAAACCCCTTGAGGGCAAGATCCACATCTGTCTCATAGCGTGTCACGGTTTTAAAACCACCATAAAGCTGATGACTTCCAAGCCTCTCTCTCCATTCCTGAACTACCCTGATATCAGTCTTCAGCAAAATAATGCTCCATTTCCACCCTGTAGATCTGGTGTAGTCCCTTGGTGTCCCCTATCTCAGCAAATAGCACTACCATTTTCCCTCTTGATCAAGCCAAAAAAGCTTTAAGATATAGTCAGATCATGCTACTTCTCCTCAAAACCCCCAGTGAGTTTTCCTCCACACTTGGGGGGAAAAAGTTTCTTCCGTGGCTACAGAGATGTCGGATGTTACCACTTTCTTTCCGGCTCACTCCATGGCATCTACACTTGCCTCCTTATTGTTCCCCAGATTCCCCAGCCTAGTTTCATACCTCCGGGCCTTTAGACTTGTTCTGTCTGCCTGAAATAGTCAATCCGAAGATATACATCCAGCTCACTTTCTCAATTAATATCTCTATGCAGATATTACCTCCTTCGAGAGGTCTTTTCTGATGGCCCCTCTATCCCCTCTCTGTTCTTCTCCTGCACACTTTCTTCTCTAAGTCCTTACACATGGGCGTTATATACTCGTTACTGTCGACCTCCTTCCGTTAGAATGTAAGCTCCATGGGAACAGGGGCTTTGTTTTG